GGAATAAGGGTCAGAGGAGGAAAGGCGTAAGCCAGAGCAAAATCCCAGTACTGGGCCAGGGCATTGATGCCCCAGGACTCCAAATCTTGAACAAGAGAAAAATGTGATTTACCTTCCGGTTTGTACTGTCAGAAAACAACTGTATTTCTGGTAGACCCCACAGATCCCCTAACTGTACAAACACTTCCACTTAAAAAATCCGCCACCACATTTCAAGACCCCTTTATATGGACTGCTGAGATAGAGAGGATTCTGCCTTCTGCCCAGTGTAAAATCTCCAGGATCAGTCTCAGGAGTTCCAAGGACCTGATGTCTCCTTGGTGGTTTGGGTAAGCCACTGTGGTTGCATAGTCAGAAAGGATCTATGTCTCTCATCTCTGAATCCCCTGCTCAAAAGCTAGTAATGCCTCCAAAACTGCTGATAGTTCTCTGAAATTGGAGGACTGCCTCAGAGCCAGGACCTCTGTGTTGCAGATTCCCTAGGTGCTCACTCTGGGCCCAGGTAATTGCTGGAATAGCTGAGGTTATGAAACCCAGCACTCATCTTGTGAGCCTTGGCTAGTAGAGAGATGGATGTACCGACCTTCCAAATATTTTCCTCTGGAAGAAAAATTTTCTGGGTTCTCGAATCGACCAGGTAACTCAAAAAAGGTTTTGGACTAAGCAGGCAGCAGAGATGACTTTTCTCTGTTAATTATCCACCACAGTCTTTCCAAGGTACGAATCGCCTTTTGGAGATCTTCAATCATTTTCTTCTCTCTAGCTGCAGACAGCAGGAGTTCGTGTAGATAAGGGATTAGTGAGACTCCCTGTAACGTACATGTAAGATTTGAGTAGCTGAGATGTGATCTGTAGAAATATGACAATGTAGGTTTAGCTTCAGTCCATGTTATAATAATATAAGATGTGTTCAGAATTAAGTCAGAGACATATGGTCACCAATTAGCATCTGAAGGGACAGAGTATCCTCTAGACTGGGGGTGACACCTGGATGCCAAAAAGATTTGCCACCTTCTGGAAATCTGGAAGGAAAGGCTCTAGACAGTTCGGCTTCATGACACAGCGGGAGACCAGAGGTGGTTCCGATGTGTCTGGGAGCTTTGACGTATATACACAGATCAAAAGGAATATACTTCATCTTTCATAAAAGCTAAAATATTAGTTGCAGAGAGATGATAATACTTCCTTCTGATTGGACACATTGTAGGCTACATCTGCATGTAAAACTGTATTTGTAGGCTATGTAGAATCCCAGAGAAATGTAGAAAAACGGTTATATGGCGCCTGATTGCGACAGCTGAACAGTGATTGGTACTGTCGCGATCGGACTGATGCGCTGGTGTCGGAAACTCAATCCCTGACTTGGTGATTCAAACCGTTCCTGGTCCAATCGACTTTGGGCATTTCAGTACCCAGAATGTCCTGTGGGCTGGTACAGGAACACCCCCCAGAATCGATTGGCCAAAGGCTAATGTCCAGCCTACGTCCATATTCCCATAAATTGAGAACCTGGGATATGGACAGTGTGATTCGTACGGAGCCAGTTCTATTGACTGGCTGATCGTGGGCTTTCTGACTTGCTCCAGTCGCAGGATAACTCTTGGTAAAAGTTTTATTTCTGTTTTTATTCCCTTTTATTGTATAGTCATTAGCCAATTGTGTGTCTTACTGATTTATTACTTATTTAAAAGGTACTTATATAGTGCCGTCCATTTACACAGCGCTTTACATATATATTGTACATTCACATCAGTCCCTAACCCTCAAGGGGTGTACAATCTAAGGTCCCTAACTCACATTTATACATACATATACTAGGGCCAATTTAGACAGGATCCCATTAACCTACCAGCATGTCTTTGGAGTGTGGAATGAAACCAGAGTATCCGGAAGAAACCCACGCAGGCACAAGGAGAACATGCAAACTCCAGGCAGGAAGTGCCGTGGCTGGGATTTGAACCAACGGCCAGGCGGAAGTGCTAATCATTTAGCCACTGTGCTGCCCACTGTCTTCTTGTATTTTCTGTATTTGTAACTCTTTATACTTTGTACATATTTTATGCACTGCCCACTTTCAGGATATTAAATGATAAAATTAATAAGTGACTTCTGGGTACTTAAGCTCTGGCTCATATCTCTGGAGAGATTGTATTGTATTGCAGTTTCTTTATATGCTCGGTCAAGTTCATTGCCAATCTGTATGCAATTGCATTGCATGTTGGCAGATTGCATGCAGATTGTAAAGGTAACAGATCTGCCAGACGGAGATCTGTGTGTGTGTGGTGGCCCAGCAGGCCAGTCTGCAGATAAAACTGTTGGGTGGTGGCAGGCTACTGTTTGTTGTGTGTCTGGTGTGAGGGTATGTGGACAGTGGAAGAGTGATTAACACCAGGGTTCTAGCTGGTAGGATAGCTGGAGGAATCCTAGAAGGGTGTGCCGATTGCTAGGCTGCTCCTCAACCCTTAGTGTGCACCAGATTGTATATAAGATTTGTATCTGCCTGTGTGTGTGTGGTCAGCCAGCTGGATTGGAGTGGAGTCTCCCTCTAGTGGTGGCTGAGGTAGTGCAGGCTGGGAAAGTATATCACGGCCGGTCTTATATACGTATATATATTCAAAGTAAGTCCCCCTTATTCCCTCTTTACCCCAAGTCACGACCGGACGTGCACGCCTCGGTTAGCTAGTCGCTTTGGGCGTGTGCATGTGGGTTGGATCCGTGACACTCCCTGTAGGTGAAAAAAAAAAATTACAAGTTTGGCAGCTAGGTGTGCTTCAGAAGTCAGACCACCACCACTGGGGTCAAGAAACTGGATCCAAATGGGGAACCCACTGACTCCTTGCAAATAGGTTTCACTAAGTATAGTGGCACAGCTTCACCTCAGAGGGGGACCTTCCTGCCCATCGGCAGGCCGTCAAATTAGTAAAAACAATAAACGTTGCGATGTCTTGTGGTAGAAAACACAATCTAAAGTGAGGGACAATCGGGTGAATGGGGTTTTTTCTCTGCCTGTTCTGACTACATATTCTGTCAGGGCAAAGCCAATCATCTCTCAGGTTTGCTGTCCTGGAAAAATGTTTGGAGAAAGAGCCTTCTACATGTGAGATGTCTATAAGTGAACTGGTATCATGCACAAATCTGGTAAATTTCTCCAAAGAAAAGTAATGAAATTCTACTATTCAGACATGTCTATGGGATGAGAAACAACTTAAAGCCTTGAGATTATCTGTTTTGTACTAAATGTGTATATGTTTATGAAGCTGTCTACAGAACTAACTGCCCTCTATGGGTTTCCTTAGTCTGCTTGTCTAAAGTAGTCTATTCCAGAGAGAAACTGTAGCAAGAAGAAACCTTGGAGAGAAGAGAATGAAATGATGCAATAAAAAAAAAATATTGTCTTCATCACAACCCATACATGTGATATTTACCATGTCACTGCACTAGGCTGTTATAAGATTTGAGGAACATAGGGTGGCCTACACCGAGTTCTCACCATAATCAGCTATTCACTGATCAATGTAGTGAAATAACTATATGTCCCAGGTTTCAAAATACAAGACAAATGCATACACTTTTTGGTATGCATAACTGCCGAACAGACCGTAAAAAGAACACACTGAATTTTGTACTCATCACACAATCAGATTGACTGTATATAACTGAAACCAGTACAGAATCTAGAGGTGAAAGAGCAGAGTCATCAAGAATTCCAGCCCAAGCGGGTACTGACCTAGCGAAGGGATAGACCCACCCCTGAGGGCTAAGAAATGGAGGGCCAACAGCCTTAATTTGCTGGATAAAACTTATGCCCCATATGCAGTACACTCTTACATTAATATTTTTGTTTTTCAACTGGTCTTTACACGAGCTATGGTATATAATGTTTGTAGACCCCGGCAGATGTTTTTGCTTCTTAACCTTCCTGGAGGTATTCCCGAGTGTAGCTTGGGGTAAAGTTTCAGCACCACAAGCAGTAACCCCGAGCTACACTCGGGGATACCCTGCAGTGCTTCTTCGCGATCTCTTCTTCACTTACCTTGTCCTGCGCTCCCACGATGTCCCTCCTGCAGTGTCCCCGGTGATAGTAAATTAGAACTACTTGCAGAATTGAATGATGATTTGTGGGGAAATTCGTCATCAGACACCGAAAATGATTTTGCGACTTTGCTCAGTGATGTGCGAACTTGGCGCTAGATTTCAAATTTCAGTGTTTTTGGTTTGATTATATTATTGAATTAAATGTATTATTATATTATTTTTATGATTATTTATTAATATATAATTTATGATTTCGTGTTTCAAATTTTAAACATACCCGGGATGTTTACTAGACTCTTGTTCGGACAGATTTCAGTGAATTATTCCTAAAAATTACAAGCTTACAATAAAAAAAAATACATATTTCCATGCAAAAAATTATACCGCTTTGAGCACAGAAATACTGACATAATCAGACCGCTAGGGAGGTTAAACAAAGTATAGGAGGAAAGGAAGTTAAATCAAGGATAGGAGTTATCAAAAAGCTCCACCCATCAAATAGAAAGATAAAATATAAACCGGATAAGAAATAGTGGTACAGTTATATCACAATGGAATTCCAACTGTGGAGAGACTACCTGCAGCTGGCTTCAGTCATCCAGGCCATGGCAAAGGCTGATATTTCTGAACCCCCTCCTCTAAGGGATTTCCTGCTGAGTCCTGCTGAAAGACCAGAGGGTGATGCCATTGATAATCAAAATGAGCATGTTCAGCTACATTCCTTCCGTGCCTGCTCTCCAAGTCAGCCCATGGGTTTTTCTTATTTTGAGAATAGTCCTAACTCGCAAAATACCAGCTTCTATCATCAAGATAATTCATGGCACCATTCTGATGAGGATCAAGCTCCGCAGACTCAACCTAATGCGCTACCAACCTATTGTCATGGGCAACCTAATGCTCATCAAACCAAGACTTCTGCGAAACAGAACGTATCACCTCCACATGGAGAGACTTCGAATGGTGCCATGTGTTGCTTTTGCAAACATAATGGCGAGTCGCGCCATATCTACATGGGCCACAAGTTAAAGGATAATCAAGGCAGAATTGTCTGTCCTGTTCTAAGAATGTACTCCTGCTCACTATGTGGGGCAACAGGAGACATGTCACACACCAAGAAGTACTGCCCCCTCAACAAAGAAAACCACTGTCTGTACAACAAAAGTGGACGCAACTCTGCTGGGCGAAAAGTGAAACGCTAAAGTAAAATATGCTGCCATTGAAGGACACTTAACGTTGTTACGATGCTCTTCTGTGCAAAGCCAAAGATCCAGCTTGTCCTTACTCAGAGGCTAAAGGTTTGGCCTATAACGTAAGCAATCTGCAGAGATTTAGCAGAGGACTAAGACTTTGTTTTTTCTGTTTTATTTAAAAATTTTATAGTGAAGAGCTTTATTTGGCTGTTCTTGAAGAGTATTTATATTCTGTTAAACTTACTTTTGAGTGTTCTTCACTTCAGCCCTGAAGACCTGTAAAGACCATTTGTAAAGGTTTTAATGCTTCTACAAAAAAAGTGTTTTGATTAAACTGTTTTCAATAACTAACATTTTTTCTTGACTATTATTGCTCATCATTGCGTAATCATTATGATATTATTCTTACCAATCTATTTCACATAACACAGGATTAAAACTGGGTGTAAATAGACTATTTTAACAATTAGGTAGGCTTAATAGGTGGAGCCTATTAAATTGGTCAGTTCCGTGCCAATAATTTACTGGAGGTATACATGTTATGTCGAAGAAATAAGTATCTAAAGCAAACACTTGGTCATGTTAGTATTGCGGTCTACATCCCTGCTGGGGAGATTCACACTCTCGCTTTCTCCCGGTGACCACTATTACCAGAAAAAGAAAAGTGAAGGGAAATTCAAAATACAGTTGCCACAGAAATCCAATGGGACACCTGGTTTGGTGACAACTACCTAAAAGGATTTTCCCCCTCACTTTGGAGAGTTTTTCCCTTTATTTGTTGCTATTCCTCTTGGTTAGGAAGGAAAGGAAATCTTCTAATGGGACACAGGTGGTAAAAAAAAAAACAAAAAACAGAAACAAAAAAAACACACCTGATGGGGTAAAGTCCAACTTCATTTCCCTGCTGCCTCACTTTAAGCACTACCTGCACCTTATACCTAAAAAAGAAAATCAAATGTACGCATACCTTTTTTTGAGCAGTCTTCAGTACGATCACAGATCATGAAGGATTCTGTATGCTATAGAAAGAAGTGCCATATGATATTATGGTAGCATCCTTCTGTGAGCCCAGGGTGGCTGAATGATGTACCCCTCCAGAGGCAAGTACTTAAAACCTTCCAGAGACAGGGTGACATTGTTTCATTCACCCAGGAGGCCATCTAGTGGCAGAAATAAATACTGCAATGCACAGCACCATAAATAGCGTGAGTATTGCAGCCTTACACTTTTTTAAATTTTTATAGAAGCAGAAGAATTATTTTTTTGGCTGCTGGTGTTTAGCTTTTACAATTCCTTACTCTATCTGTGAAAAATAAAAGTTTTGTCTTTAGATTCACTTTAAGCAGCTGGAGGAAATAACATACAGTTACATAAGTGTGCTAATTTCAATTAGCAGCACAATAAATTATTGATTGCTTGATGTTTTAAAGTGTCAGAGCTAAGAATGGTCACACATTTTCACAGCTACCAATCATTTAAAAATGTTTAATTCCGTCCTCCAAGGCACGCTCAAAACCAACTGTTGCAGTCAGATTTCAACTGACATATTTAATGCTTATTAGGAGTGTAACTACAGTATATATGGTGTGACTTTATGTGTCACTAAACCTACTTCATGTGATCCCAAGGCATGGATGACCTGCCACTGCTATCTGTGAAGTTTATTACCAACCATTATTGAAGGAAAAAAAAAAGAGGACCTGTGACATCATGCAATTTTACTGAATATCTCTGTGAAAATGCTGTAGGTGGGGCAATAATATAAGTTCAGCACATCCTCCGTTCATGTTTCTAGCTTACAAGTGTTCTGCTTTACTGCTTCTGCTTCTTACAATGTAAAGCTGGCCTTGGATGGTTCATTGTATCTGTTCAGCCAGTGGGCTTTGTGATAAAAATTAATAGATTCCTCCATCCACTCAAAGGAGGTGAATAGAGAAATCCGGATATCCTCCATCCCCCACACTTCCCAGGGACATTGTATTCTGACAGTAGGACTCTCCACTGTCAGAATACACTGATCAGTGGCTGCAGTCAATTGGCTGAATTCGCTGACTGACAGAAGATTCCAGCTTATCCATTCAACAGAAGTTGATGTAATGACTGACTTCTATCAAACGGGGACAGCTGCACGGATCACAATTTGGCCAGTCTCTGCTAAACTGGCAGAATTTCGATCAGCCACAGTTCACACTAAAATGCAAAGCAGGAAACCCTCGATTCGTATGCATTTCCTGCACCACATTCACAAAGCACTCCCTTGTGATCTGTAGCAGGAGTCAGTGCAATGCTAACGACACCCTAAATGGAGGTTACAAACGGATCGCATTTGCCTGAACTGGATCACATGGTATAAAAAAAAGGACCATGAAATCTGGTTGCAGTGCATTTCCAAAATTGGTGCATGGCACTACTTTGGTGTGATACTGTGCAATCTGTGTCTACTCAAATTGAATAGGCTCAAACTGCACCGCACTGAATTGCATGAGAATTGCACAGGAATGGCTGCACATTCCTGTGCAATTCATAGAGTGAACCAGGGCTTAGTCTGTGGTCTGCTTAAGTCTAGTAGTAAACTGACTCATTGAAAAAAAACAATGCCCTTACTGTGTGTCCAATACCTTATTTCAACAGTTAAGGTAGGTAGTGTGATTGCAAAGTCGTTGCAAATATCTACACATTCTAGTGGATAATCTACAAAACCTTTAGCACGAATTAAATCTAAAAAAAAAAAAAAAAAAAAAAAAAAAGAATTGATAGGAGGTAGAACATTTTTTGGCAGAAGATACTTTGCCTGTCTTTTCTGCTGAAAAACTCTTTGCACTTGCTTCTAGAATTTTCTGTACCCTTCTGTAAGGCCTACACTGTAAGATGTAGGTCAGGTAGATGTTCCTGCAGCGCACATGCACAGGTGATACATCAGTAGTGGTTGCCCAATGGCCAAAGAGGAAAGAGAGGAGAGCAAGCTCAGAGGTAAATTGCCATAATCTGCAAGTAAGCTCAGCATAATTGCACATTATGGCAGCAGCTGCCTACATCCTACAGTTAGGGTTTAATACAACAAAATATTTTAGAGCTAAAATGGGGTGAGGACTAGCAGCAACTTGATGTCATAGAAAGAAGAACCCCTTACAGTATAGGACTACATCTCCTGGCAGCTCTTACAGTGGGAGTGACAACCCTGCTTTAAGTTCAACAGCAGCCTGGAAATGTTGTCAGCCCTCTGCAAAAAAATGTAAAGGATGACCAAAAAAAAATGGCAGGACCAATAGGTAAAATCAAAGAGAAAAAAAAAGGGGGTTAAACCAAAAGCATAATATGACACAGCATACACTACATGAATTCTACTACTATATTACTTAGAGATATATTTTAAAGTCTTTGTCTCTATGTATAGTTTGTAATAACCTGTGGACATAATTGTAGCTATATCTGCTACAGTTTTACATGGGCTGGAAGTCTTGGCTGTTACAGCTATTGTAAGAAATTCCCCCTTGCCAGTTTTTAAATCAAAATGTTCTTTTTAGCCATACACATGGAAGTAGTTAACATACTGACTATCCTAAAAAACACTATCAGCAAACACAGTAGCAGCTGGTGAATAAAAACCTGTCATTTTCTGTTGGGAGCATACTCTTACCTGCAGGCGCTGTAGCGGAAAGACAGGAATAGGTCAGCGTACTTCAGAACAACTTAAGTGCTCTGCTCTCATCTGGCACAGCAGGGAGCAGGTCATCACAAACCTGCAGAACAAGAAACAATGTAAGGTAGCGTTACATCTATATACATTTTGAAAGCCTGTAACCATTCAAATTTTTTTATCTAGGTTTGGATACAGTGGGCGAAGGGTTAGAGCCTCTGTTATAATTTGTATTCCTGTCTGTGTCCCTATTGGGAAGATTTTCCCTCACTTAACGTCATGACAAAAAGGTGCTGAAAAATCTCTCCAACATAGAAGACAAAAGCTCATATTTAGTACAGTGCAGAACAATCAGATCCAACAATAAGTTTATTGCTTTCCTGTGCCAGTGACAACTGCTTCCCTCAATTCCTTAAGAGAAATCATAGAGATAGGAGGTGTGGGAAAATCTCCCCAATAGGGTGACAAGCAGACATACATTTTAGGCCCAGTTCACATCTCATGTAGCGCGAACTCATGTTCCCACTTGCAATTTTTTTTAGCACGATTTACATGCACTTCCACTTGAATGGACTGCCCTTTGCGCCTTTGTCGCACCAAAGAAGCTCAAGAATTGAATTTTGGCCTGAGCCAGGCGCGTTTTCTTGCATGGCAATCACAACAAAACCACTCTACGACTGGTGTTCCATTTAGAATGAACATTTCAGCACGATATGGAAAAGCGAGCAAATTGCTAGAACAGGTCTTACTCTTGCCCACAGCAAAAAAAAAATGCCTGGAGTTAGGCTTAAGGCTAGATTCATGGACGCATTTTCCGTTGAAATGAATAGGAATTATGGTCAACAAAACGCATTAAGACGCATATCAAGACACACATGGACACATAGCAGCACAATTTACTTACCTTTCCTTTGCTCCCCGACTTGGTGCCAGGGGCCAAAAGTAAACATCCATTACTTCCAGGTATGAAGGAGCATGCTATTACTCATAGCTCCCAACTGTCCCTGATTTCGAGGGACCGTCCCTGATTTGGAACAAAGTCCCTCTGTCCCTCATTCCTCCTAATTTGTCCCCCATTTTGGTCTGATCTCTATAGTTGTATAAAAAAAGCACTTTTAATTTTTCCCAGATGCTAGACCTTACACCCTATTCCTAAATTGCTGCATTTGTAAAAAAGGAATAGTAGTGGTAAAAAAAAAAAAAAAGACGCACTTGTGGGTTCAACTAATCATTTTTTGGTATAATTCTCCTTTGAGGGGGTGAGGCAGGGGGTGTGCCCTATGCCTACATACGTTTGCCACTAGGTGTCCCTCGTTCCCTTCTCAAAAAGTTGGGAGGTATGCTATTACCTCTGTTTTGTAGAGGTATCAGC